TCAATGCTTAAAAAGAATTATGACTAAATGCAGCTGCACTTCAACCAGATACCCGTGAGCACATGAGATGTGAAATATGCGAAAAATGACTTAAACATAATTAACTGAAACGAAGCACTTACTTACTTAAACAATAACATACGTACAGCCAATGTTTAAATATTTGTAATTAGCTAAATACTGTATTAAACCTTTTTAATATTTTTTTGTTTTAACATTTTTTATTTTTATTTTTTACAGAAACCGTCGGCCACAGCAAAACCCACCAAATATCACTACTATCCACACAATCAACACATCTATTTATTGCCGGAATGTGCGATCCAACAAGTCTGCAATGCAGTTTATGTGCGCCTAAATTATACACAACCACTATGTGCCTGTCCATCGAGGTAAGTTGAACACAGGAAGTGATTTCTATGATAAATTTGAGAAACGTGCAAGTGTATTAAACATTTACACACGTTGGAAAATAGACAACCGATATGCCGGTACAGATATCTGTCTGGGTGTCTACCTGTCTATCGGTCTATCAGTCTATCTTATTGTGTATATGTCTGTCTGTTTGTCGCTTTGTCTAGTTCCAAACATTCCCATTACAATATGCAGAAGAATCGATGTACACAGAAATAAACGCCCCCGATTGAGGTGGAACAGTACTACGATCAAACTTCTCAAGATGCTTGAAAGAAATTAAACAATTTTACAATTAGCCTGATTATATGCCTCACTATATGCAAAAAAAAATTGCAAGCTATTACATTGTGCTATCTTAAGTAAAATATTTAAATAGAAAAGATAGCTAACTAAATAATATTTTATTAAAAATAGTTTATGAAAAATGTCACGCCCCTTCTTTGCATAAACAGCGAAAACTTACATTCTTTTCGACTTTATAATTTATTATATGGATTATATTTTTTCTGCCAGGTACCGTGATCCGTGCTCTGCTAGCCTAAATGAAGATGATCAGCACACCACGAAGCTAATCGGTGATGGTAAAAAAAAAGTAAGTAAATCTCTTTTAAATTTAATTGAAGTACACTAAGAAGTTGCTAAGATCCGAAACCGCAACGCTGAAGTAAATTAAAGAAATGCTAGGTTCACGCAAAGCAAGTAAGCTTTTGATTGCCAAACCAAATTGAAAAACCACGCAAAGCTCATACAAAAGAACTCAGTTTAACTGCCCAAAATTGTTTAAAACCAAAAACTAAAAAAATTATTTTTAAATTACTTAACTGCAGATTTCAAATTCAATGTTAACTAAACAAAAACAATAAAAAAAGGCATAAGGCATAAGGAGGGATTTTAGCCAATTCATACCTGCAGCACTGAGCAATTTCCCGCTAATTCTATGGAGGCTGTTTTTTCTTTCCAACTACTCCAATTGCGCCTATTTAATGCCGTATAAGCTTACTGACTCATAAACAGCTTGTAGCTGACTAAGTATTACTAATCAAAAGTTACCGGTTAGTTTGCCATCGGTTAATGGTCCGCATTTTTATTGTTGGCAATAAAATTATCAAATGTTTGTATCAACCTGGAATCAATTTTAACTAGGAAGCATCTTCTAATGCAGTTACATGTTTGGCGGCTATGGTACCGTAGTAGCCACTCTAACAAGCACGTAATTGCATCAATTTTAAAGCAAACGTTGCAAGCCACCGATTTGGGAAATCTTATTTCCCCCATCCAAAAAAAAGTATACAAATATTTTATTGGTTATCTCCGTGGTATACTTCTTCTTGGAGTTGCTCACACGAAATTGTAGTTTTTATTTATGTGCCCAATTAGGAGTTTTTTTCAAATGGATTTTCACGCAAGCTACTTTTATTAGGAATTTATTAGCAGCATTAATTTGTTGCTTAGTGTGAGCATCTCTGAACAGTAATGTTTTTGGGTTAACAAGACTTAGACTCGTAAATCATGTATGTAGGCAAGCGGCCTATTTCCGATTTCTATTACTTGTAAATGAATTTAATATGAAAATTACTACTAATAAAACAAAATGTTTATTAGATGATTTGTTTATTTAATTTTTTTATCATCTAATAAAAAATAATATATACACATGTAGACAATATTTATTTAAAAAACTAAATTTATTAATGAAAAGATTAATATAAATAAAACTATTCACTAAACATATGCATTAATAAAAATATTGAGAAATATTGCCATAAATATATCTGAAATCAAATTTTATATTTTTTCTGTAAAAGATCAACGAGAAATCCATGGTTTTCCCAAAATTATTATAAAAACTTCACAGATACATTTAAGCAATGCGAAAAAAAAGCAAAATACATCTTCATCTTTAAAATGTATCTTGACAAAGTTAATTAATTTTACATATGCAAAGAAAAAAGCAAAACACATCTTCAAAATATATCTTGACAAAGCTAATTAATTTCACATATTTAAATAAAATAAAAATTAAAACTAGTTAAAAAAAATTATTTTAATTAAGAAATTTAATGGAAAGAAATAATTTCTCTCGTCCTAATTACTTTAAATTCAAAAAATATATATAATTATTTGTTAATTATCACCTTTCCGAAAGAGATTAAGGCACTCTAGATAGATAGATCAATTTTGAAGGGGTTGAGATCATCATGTCACTGTATCCTCTGAGTATTACTGTGACAAACCCACTTTAGTTCTATAGGCGCAGAGCAGTTTAAAATGGCATTATATCCCTTCGAAAGATGTTGACTATTTCTGTTATAAGTGAATAGGCAGTTGATAAATACCGATGTCTGAGACTATCTCAGTGACACAGAATATGTTCTGCCATTTTTTTCTGTTCTTCGTGACAAAGTCTGCAGCTATCGTCCCTTATAATATATAGATTCGAAAAATGTTTCTAAACTCCATAATGTCTAGTGGGAAACCCTGTAAGAAATCGAACACCTTTTCTATTCAGCATTAGTAGCTCCCTATTAAAGCACTCTGATACCCGAGAATTAAATGAAATAAAGTAAAGTGAAAGATTATCCACCTTCTTAGCTCATATTTTGCAATTATTAAAAAACGACTTAAGCACCTTTATTCATTAGTTTAAAAGAGTTTTGAAAATTCGGCTCAAAACTTTAATTTTGATCTATTTTAAATCAGAAAATTTTTTGCACTGATAGCACCATCTGATATCTGATATTGCACCTTTATCGCTTTTGATATCGCTTTTAATAATAACAGTTATAGTAATATTTATAATTATAATTGGTTTTCTCAATTGTCGATTTTATAGTTGTATCCGATAAAGATTAGGCCTATTATTGAATAATAATAAATATTGTAATTGTTATTTGCTTTGTCGATACCAAGTACAAATATCTCAGAACTTAACTTATCCTTGATCTAACATTGTTGCTTATAAAAACCCACTATTAGAAAACTTCAAACATATCAGAATATTGTATTGAGACGTGTGCTAAAAGCTCCATGGTATGTCATAAATGAAGATATACACAAAGACTTGAGAGTCGAAAGTGTGTAAAAGTATATCAAAGACAGAGCGTTGAAATTTTTCGATCTTGTGGATGAGCACACTTATTCAGAATTGAGCTCTCTCAAATCAAATGCAATATATTTTCCGCCAAGAAGATGTACTAAACTTCCAACCACACATCTGTAAATTTAAATAACTATTTATCAGACCTCAACGGAGCTCTTATTGCAGAAGATCATCCAAGTGGTCAAGTAATGCAGAAAGTATTGAATTTAGGTTCTCAAGTTCCTAAAGTTCCTTGCTCCTATTTTAGCAAACAAAGAAAAAGAATAAGAGATCTAACATTTTCAATACTCTCATCAAATTTCATTTGCTTCTTCTGAACAAATTGGCAAGCTTTGTTTAAGGAACGAAATGGATTAAATATGTAGCAGGTAGCGTAATCAGATTTTTATCCAACATACAAAAGAAAATTGGCTTGATTCGTTTAGTATTATTATTGAAAAGCATTTTCCTGAACTCTAATGCAATCCTTACAATGATTTTCTAACTTCTTACTTGTTTCTTATACAACGATTTGACAACACTTTTAAAATCATCTGTCCTTTGTTTTGGCGATAACATGTTTATTCAAGTCAATATTTATTCCTTCCAACTTTCTATTAGAGATTTACTAGAAGGTAGTAGTCTTTAGTGACACAATTAATCCGAAAAATGTACAGGACGGATAACAATTCGAGCTTCAATTCGTTTAGTTAATATAGACTATTGACTTCTTCCTTATTTGGAGCCTTGTTTTTGTCAGTACATTAATTGTGGATCAATGAATTAAATGTGCCTATTGTACCTATTGAATGTGTGATATTGTAGTTTGTTTAAATGTTTAGTGTTTTGTCTTATTTCTTATATGTTAGACATTTTTGTCGTAATACACAATTTTATCTTTTTAATCTCTAAACTACACTCCCTTCTATTTTAATTATTTAAATTAATTAATATTAGTAACGCTATTGGAGAAAACAATACTTTTTTTTCAGTTTTGTTTGAACTTGATATCGATTGAATTTAATATCAATTGTAGTGGAAATGTTAGTATAATATTTAAACAGAAATTAACAAGTAATACTTTTAATGGCCTCACATTAGCCAGACTGAACGATAATTTAATGTCATCCTTTGACGGTCGATGGACATTAACATGCACTCCATAGCCACGAGCTAATTGAAACTAAATGACAAACCAATAAAAAAGGAGCTGACAATTACAACAAAAACAAAGCGAAAAAGTCAATCTTGTCAGACCAACGAAGAGACTACCGCGCCAAGCCGGAAATCTCATTTGATGATTGCAATTTAAGGCAATTATTACGAGGTAATGTTATGACCCAAGGGAAGACAGGGAATAATCACAATAACAACTATAACGGCTAAAAACAACAGAAACAACAAAAACAATACGAATTTGGTCTATGCCCGCAGGTTAAATCGATTGTTTTATGCAAAACATTGAATTGTCTTTAAAGCTATCAAATCATTGGCCTCTTGAAGAATGTACAGTACTGTAAAAAGAGTGCCAAAGGCACCGAATTTAATTTAAATTACCGGGGGTTTCGTATACCCATAATAGAAAATTCACAAATAAAAATAAATTTCAATGCTAATTTCTGGCAATTTGGTCATGGAGGTTGCTGCACTTTTTATTGGCATTGAATCCAGAGAGACTAAAAACTTTTTTAAGTCGCCGCTTCGTAGCAAATCTAATAAAAAAAGGTGCATTTCTTTCTAATTTAACTACAAAAAAAAAATAAAGGTGATTAGTAGAGTTTTTCAAAGCCTGCATATGTATTGTCGAGTACATGTCATCCATTAATTGTAGTTTTTATAAAATAGTAAAATTAAGTTTAATGTCAATATTGTGTGGCTTAGTTCCATTCCAACAATTTCAGCAAAAATATTAGTTGACTTTTAATTGCCGGAGCAATATTAAAAGACAATCTGAGCAATGCGTTTTTGTGCTAAAATAAATTGTGGCAAATCTCAGTGCACAAAAGCGAAAGAAGTTAAATGCCAGCGTTTACTCCGCTTACTTCAGAGTCGGACCCCACATGCTTTTATAATTTTAATAAATGTTTATTTAATGTATTTTACAATTTTCTATTCCACAGGCAATTACCTTAGCGAAGACATGCGAGGCAACAACGGAGATGCGTGAGTGTCGCTCGCCAAAGGATTGGTCTCTGTTGGCTTTGCAGAACACACGCACTGGAAAATCTCATTATCTAGTAATATGCAGGTGTCCAGATCATTTTAAAATGGGTACGTTTAAATTTTATTGGTTATTTCTAGTTATAATAAAAATAGATTGAAAAATCCATGCCGCACAAATAGTTTCTCCATTCTTCCAATTTATTTAACATTAAATTATTTTATTCATAACAAATCGCTGGTATTTAAAAGTACTAATGATGATCATAACAATTTAGTACTACAAGTAACCCTTAAAGGTATAACAGATTATATGGGTTTCTGGGAACTAAATTTTAGATTGTTTGGTTTTATTGGAATCGTAACAAGCAACATTACTTTTGGAGCAACAAGAGTTGTAGTAAAAAATATGAACACAATTATTAGATTAAATAATTTATTTTTCAAAGATACCATATTGCTATAGCTACATTTAGGTAGCTAGTTTTATTATACAAGGTATTAAAACAATAAATAAAACAAACAAAAACAACTAGTTATTAGGTAACTAACAAGGAATTTAGATTTAATCAGATTTAGGCGATTTCACTCAACATTAAATCAACTGTAGAACATATCAATAATTTAAGTCCAAAGATCGCAGGGCTTTTGGCACTTTACACGGCGTATTGGTTTACATACAAAAAATTGGAAGCCTTTACTATATAGTATTTCACTAATATATTCACTGTTTCGATAATCTAACAAATCGCATCTAATGAATGAAAGCGAATTGCATTATCGTGTTTATAGCCGTGAGTAGCTTTATACCTAATAATACGTTTCCACTGGCTTCGTTAGACCAATTAACTTACTGAAGATTCAAGTAATTCAAGAAATCTCAAGTAAGTTAACTGGTCTATAACGTACCCAGTAGAAACATACTTCAAATCAACGCAAGAAGCACTGATATTTTTGATTCAAAGATCAATCGGATTTACGTTCTAAACCCACTTCTGCATCACTGAAAATAATTGCTTACTAAGTAGGCTTCCCCAGGTGAATATTCGGAATAGAACAGCGCATATGCTTTCGAAAGCTTGTACCTATCAACTCAGAATAATAATATTTACTTGATAATAACTGATAATAATACTTAATAGTACCGAAATATGCCGAAACCAATTCACGAAGTCATTTGTCATTGGCAATCTATTATTCCTCAGAATTATCTCCGAATTTCATTGATTTGTATGAAGGGCGAATGAAAGAATAGTCTTTAGTATATTTTTAGTATATATTTTACTAAAGATGTTTCCAAAGACATGCATTTGTTAAATATGTCTATAGTTACTAATACATTTATAGTAGACGTTTGCGAAAAATACCTATGATAACAGAAACATAATGCGGAATACAGACATCTTGTATGTTATTAAAGGATATATTAGTAAAAATATGTTTCGCAATAGATATTAATAATACTAAGTAAAACTTTATATATATGCGTTGTATACCTATATACTACTACAGATAAATATTTTATATATTTTAAACTTATATAAAATAAAAAAAATTTCATACTTCACGGTGGTGTCAACTGAAAAATGATCAACCTCCAAACTGCACCCAGTATGAATAGGACTACTCACTATAGATAAATAATATTTTTTCCTTCTAACTCCTGCAGATTCAAATCTTTTTTTTCAACTCTACTAACATTCCACACCTTTAACAATTAACATGATTAATTAATAGTAAAATATTTTTATAATTAAAATTTTTGTTAATTTATTTCAGAGGGACCAATGGCACATGATCAACCAACCTATGCTAGCGTACCAGGCATACGTGTATTTGGCATGATGTGTGTTAAACCCGGTTACTCAGTGCGTAAGCCATCGGCTCAACCTCCAAAACGTTACCAGCTGCAAAAACCCTTCTACAGGCCACAAAATGTACAAAGCAGCAGTAGCAGTTTCTTAAGCAACAGTCAATTCAATAATAAGGATAATTATGGACGTCCAACATATGGGCTAAATAATGGCG